AAATTCTTTGATCCTTCTAAGTACTCCCATAGGAACATGTCCCAATCTTTTGTGCCAAAGTGCCAGAATCTCTCACTTCTTTTCTAATTGCAGACATTGTGTGAACCTGATCTTTTTGTGGTCTTGTACTCCAGTCCATCACATACAAGCCTTCTTCCACTTTACCAATCCCCTTGACCTTCCCAGATGAGAGGTCCTAAAAAATACAATGTGTAGGAAAGGAAGAAACACAATAGTTTAATTCTTTTGTCAGTTTGTTCAGTGACAAACAGTTAAACCTAAAGGCTGGTATACACAGTACATCACTGATCATTTCAGTTTCATTCAATTTCAAGTTTCCAATATGTGAAATTGTTGTTGAATCTCCTGTAGGGAGCTGCACTATCCCTTTACTTCCTATTATGTGCTTATGATACAAATAGGCATGATTGTGTATCATGTGATCTGAGGCTTCAGTGTCTACAATCCATTTCAAGCTGGGATTAGGATTACCTGCTAGATTTGTACTGCTTAAAGAATCTGAAAGCTCGTTATGTCCTTGCAATATACCACGCATTTGTTTAATTTGCTTTGGTGATGCCTTGTGCAACATCTCCAACCATTGCTCAGGTGCATTTGCTTGTCCGGATCCCCTCATGTCCTCTTGAACCTGCACATTTTGTAGCCTTGAATGCATTGCACTTCCTCCTAAAACTGCATAGTCTTGATCCTCTTGCAATTGTGCTCGTCCTCTACCAACAACATTAGTCTTCTTATTTCCTTTGAAATTGTTTGGATATCCAATGAGCAAATATCAATTTTCCTTCACATGACCTGTTGAATGACAATTGTCACACTTCTTCAATTTGTTGCAATCAGCCCTAACATGACCTTTCATGTTACAGAAATCACAGTAAAGTGAATGATAATTCCTCCGTGGATTCTGAGAATTCTGAAACTGTCTAGATTTGGTAGTATACATTGCCAAGGACTCCATTCCTTCATTATATTGCCTGCAGTTCCTTTTTGACTCTCATCCTGAATTACTAAGGCATATGCTTGGTTGACATTTGGTAAATTGTGCATCATGACGATCTGACCTCGAGCTTGAGAATAGATGTCATTCAAGCCCATTAGGAATTGAAGCAACTGTTGATACTGCAGTTGCTCAACATATTCCTTAGTCTTATGGCAGTCACAACTAGGTGGAGGCAAGATGGAATCATATTCATCCCATAGGTTCTTCAATTTTGTATAATAGACAGAAACACTGAGTACTCCCTGTGTAAGAGTAAATATATTTCTGTGTAGCTGATAGAGTCGCAATCCATTGATCTTATCAAATCGTTCCTTGATATACTATATAGTGTAGGATTCTCCATCCCTGTCAATTGAACTCCTACAGATAAGGCTCCTGGTACATCCAAAGAGCTCAAGTACAAAGGATGATTGTGATCGATCATCACCGAGCTTTCATGGGTAATCTCTCCCTGTGCTCTGGCATTCGATCCTCCTGGTGTATCATCCTCGATGGCTATGGATTAGATCCAAAAAATCCTCGCAAAAAAGAACAAAAACGAGATCCCTAGATGCGTACTCCTTGCTCTGATATCATGTGAAGTTTAGTAACTGAACAAGCAAAACTCAGATAACAAATGAAGAAGAAGAAGATTTCCATTAACATGAAACTATAATTACAACTGAATGAACGCTTTGCTATACAATGCTATTCGTCTCAATGAACTAACTCTTATATATACAAGATAATCAGCTCACTAACTGTCTAACAACCTGTTAACTAACTTAATTATCAGCCAATCATTAATTGACAGTTGTACACTTTATTAACTGCTCAACACTTTTTTCCCTTTAAATTCGTGTATAATAGTCATGCGGGAAAAAAATATACACTGCAATGAATTTTTTTTATTATTATTAATAGGACGCACCATTCATGTGCCTTACAAGGCACATCAGACCTGTAAGACGCTGTCAGATCACGCCTTACAAAATATAAAAACAGATTTTGTATCAGTTAAGTGAAATTATTTGCCTTAACGATATCAATACAGTATCTATGTACTAATTTAGTACTCCATCTATCCATAATTACTGGTCCACTTTTGAATTGCCACACCTATTAAGAAAACAATGATTACATAGTGAGTTTACCATTTTACCTCTATTAATTATGAAGTAGATGAATTAAAAACTTAAGAGTTTCAAGAAGTTTTACCTTTTTCAAAGTAATTAATTGAGGGTGTAATAGGGTAAAAAAAATTGTCCTTTCTTGATTTGTCAAAATGGACAAGTAATTACGGACAACTAAAAGAGGAAAAGTGGACAAGTAATTAGGGACAGAGGGAGTATCTGTTAAGTGAAATTAGTTGGGGGAGAGGTGGGGGTATATAGTCTAATTATTTAGTGGTATGAATGTAAGAGGGTATATGTTTGTACGTAATTATTTTGTTTTTATGGGGTATTTGCTTAGTTTCCCCTATTTACTACTTCAAAGCTAAAACCTACTTTAAAATAAATTACTTAACAAAGCTACATTATTATTTTAATAGCAAATTTATACAGTTATATTCAATTCCCTATTTCACGCATAATTAGAAATTGTATCTGACTAATTTTTTTTATCTCTAACCTATACCGTAAGTATTTCTTTCCACATCGTGACTCCACCAATTTAGAATGATTTACTTTTAAATTCTTCAAGTTCATATTAGAAATTTTCCTAAAGTTGTTCTTTTGTGATTATCCATATCAAGTAAAGGTTTTAATTAACAATAAGTGTATCTGCATATTTTTTCTTCCAATTGAAAGATTGTTGCTAAAGGGAAGATGTCCAAACATAGAGTATCAAAGATGTATGTGATTTTTTTTTAATATGTCCATTGTATCATGATATATCATGTATCGGAAATGTATCACTATGTAATGTAGAGTTAATATCCTAAAAGGTCACTCAACTATTAGAATTGATGTAGCAAAGTCATTAAACTTTGTTTTGTATAAAAAAAAACTCAACCTAAGGTTTTTATTTTCCAAAATCACTCAACCAAATTTTATCATTAAAAGAAAATCTAACATAACAAAATAAATTATTTTTGTATGTATTGAAGCATAAAATGCATAAATAAATAAAATTAAAGAAAATCCATTACACCTCTTCTCCCTTTATTTCTCTATTTCCACAAAAAATTCTCATAAAAAAGGCCTTCAGAAGATTCTTTAATATTGTTCATGTTAAAATCTTTTTAAATAATGGATTCACATAAATGGACAACTAAATTTATATAAGATAATATTAATAACCTTACAATTTAACTTATGAATAAGAATTTAGGCTTATCCGAAGAATTGTTGGTAACAGTTGGAGTCAGAGATTTCATTTTAGCATATATATTCATAAATGTGTTTACTGTTATTTTTTTATTTTTTCTTTACATAATATTTAGGCAAATTAAACCTTCATACTTTGTAAGAACTCTAAGAAGAAATTCATTATTTAAGAAAAATAACATGAATAATCTGAAACAATTTTTTGAGGGTCTCTTTTTGGTGAATAAATTAAAGAAACAGACAAAAAGAAGAAGCTCAACAACAGTTTATAAAAGAAACGAAGACATGAAATTTAATAGAAAATCTAAATTCATACATTATAATTGCACAGAATAAACTATAAATTTCTGAGGGCACATAACGAAATCCCAAAAGAAAAGCACAATACCGTTTTAATTCAAGTATTTTTTTCTCGAAGAAGAAGTGTAAATGGTTTTTCTTTTAAGTTTATTTATTTGTGGGTTTATGTTTCAATACATACAAAAATAATTTATTTTATCATGTTAGATTATTTTTTAATGATAAAATTTGGTTGAGTGATTTTATTGATAAAAAAATAAAGTTCAATGACTTTATTACATCAATTCTAATAGTTGAGTGACCTTTTAAGATATTAACTCGATAATGTATCGAAACTGTATCATGATGCAATAAGAAAGGTATATATCATGATGTTATTTATCGGAAATGTATTAATGGTTGACATAGTTGATACACCACAATAATAGACTAACTTTGATACTTCAACCTACAACTCCCAATAAACAAAAAGAAAACGAAGCAAATGGAATAAATAAAAATCGTCAAATTTTGTTTTTGAATTTTCTTTTTGGAATATATTGTTATTGATATCTCGTTTACAATTCTATGTCAAACCAATAACGTAAATTCTATAAATTAATATAATTGATCACATTGTTGCATTAACTACTTGTGTTAGTTAAAGAGTCACAGATTTAATGACAACAGCATATACCAAGAATATTGGCCTTAGTAGGAGTGATGGGATTTATGACTTTTACTAAGAATACTTCCATAATTGCACATTCAATGAATTAGTTTGTGCTAACAACTTGTAATTTTATCTCAATAAAGGGATTGATCAAACGATTAGTTCAATAATTCAATGAAACAGGAAGAGAAGTTGTGAAAAGATGAATGAATAAATTTGGATTAATTACATACAAAGTTGGAAAATTTTTTGTACATATATTCTACAATTCTCTTAACCCATGTCCTCTAGTTCTCTCAACTTTTGACCTCTATCAAACAAACTTCTTAGACTTCTCTTCACCTCTCCTCTGCTGCTAAACACTTGCAACCAAAGATTGATTGCACAATAATGTTGATTCCCTCCATTTCAAGTTGTCATGTAAATTAAGGTTCGAAAGATTCTTGATTCCAGGTAGCCATCGATCCAAGGACTTCAAGCTACATTACTCATTCTTGGTTCATAATATGGAACATGTTTTTTCCTTCCTCTCATTGCTAATCATACAATGTTTGTTCTTGTCTTTGATTTGGTGTTCATTCTCGACTCTTCGCTTAACATAGAGTAGTACTAATTGGCTTGGCTTTTGGAGTAGTGATCATTCTAACATCGTCATTGAACTCAATGTTTGCAATTCATGAAGAAGGGTGTGAAATTTTGACATTTGGGAAAGAGAATGTGGTATCTTGATGATTGAAGAATGCTTGCTAGTAGTAGTACTATTGAGTTAACTACAGCAGACTACAGTATTTTCCTTGAAATGGTATATTTGTGTTCCTTCTTTTCTCTTTGACACCTTTGAAGCAAACACATCCAATGCTTCTTTCATCCATGGATGCCAACATACTTCTCTTGCTTCATTAAACTTCACCTACAATGTTGAAAAATCAAATACATTTTCATTTCAAATCCGAGGATCCCACAACAAAAACAGCTTTTAGCAGCAATAAATATAAACATTAATAAAGAGTATTGATGTTTTTATCAGCAGACTTTACAAAGAGTACTGAACTGTAATTGTCACTAGTTATTGTATCTAAAAGAACATATTTAGCGGCAATTAAGTTATTGTTGTTAATTAGTTGCTGCTAAAGATCATTTTTGATGTACTGTATATACACACGTACCCATAAACGTCGACGGACACTTTTCTCAGGCCAATCGTCTAGTTCCTCGGTTACACGCAGAGGAAACATGTGCCCCTCATGAAATATGCCTTGGCTTTTGCTTTTGAAACTCCACGTACCTAAATATTCCTGCAAACAATGAGCAAAATGCATGTTTAAGAAAACAATTCTAATAATAATTATGCATCAATCCCTAAGTAATAAATGAGGATTTTCCTACGAGCGATCACTCAATAATGAACACTGATTGAAAACAGTCAGAAATGAGTACTTTATCTCTTACATGTGTCTTCAACCTGAAAAAACAATATAATCCTCTATTGCACTCAGAGGCGGACCCACCTTGATTAGTGGGGTGGATGTGCACCCGTAACTTCAAAAATAATAATGTGTATATATATATAATTAACAGTGTTATAGGAGTGTTCTTGTGTTGTTGGTACAAGGTAGAGGATCCACCCACAAGATTAGGGTTCAATTCTCAATCATATTTGGTGCACCCGAAGTTTTCAAATTTTGAATTCACCTGTGGTATATTTACAACAAAGAAGGGAAGTATTTAGATACGAACCTGAACTTCAACCTCGCCAACAACACCAGCTTCTTCAAAAGTCTCCCTTGAAGCAGCCTCTTCCAATGATTCATCAATTTCCCAACCACCCTGCATTTTCAATTGCTCAATCATACATATTCAATCGAATCGAATTGAATTGTACAAATTCGATAAATATATACCTTAGGGAACATCATTCTTGGATTCTTCTGTGAGCTAATCAATAAAAATTCCAAATCATCAATAGGGGTACTACCCTGTTGAACACATGATGATGGATCCCTTTTTTTGCTTCTATATGGAATACATCTGCCAATAACAATTATCATAAAATTAAATCTCCATTTTAAATCATTCTTAAATACAATTTAAAATTAAAGATTAAAGGTAAGAACAGAGACCCAACAACTTGACGACAACCACGATTGTATCTCTGTAAATCTCTTCCTGTGCGTGAATTCATAGAGAACGATTTCTTGATTTGCATATTCAACAAAACTAAATATTTTTTTCTGAAACAAAAAGGGTATGCAACAAAAGACACAAATATATATAGGATTGAAATTAGGCTGTTACAGAGGACACAAAATTTTGCGCGTACAATCTATGTTTAGCTATTTTCTTGGGTTACATCATAAATTTCAAGAAAAAAATTTTTTAAAAAAAAAGTATATGTGAGAGATAGAATTAATTTTTTTTTTCTCTTAATATAATTAATTGTGTGGATAATATGAGGATTTTAATGTTTGTTTGTCCGTTCCTTTAGTAGAAGATGAGAGACACGAATAGATATGAGAATTAACACACACGTTATGCGTGGCTCAATAATTGGAGATGACTCATTTGATATCGACTTTGTTCATTCGTTAAAAGTAAGGTTAATTTATACTTCTTCTCTTCCTAATTATTTGTTCATTTCTTTTTAGGTGTCCATAATTATTTATCCATTTTGATAAATTAAGAAAGGATAAATTTTTTTATATATTATACTCACAATTAATTATTTTGAAAAAGCTAAAACTTTTTGAAAATCTTAAGTTTTTAATTCATTCACTTCATAATTAATAAGAGTAAAATGATAAATTTATTATGTCAATAATTGTTTGTGTGCATGAATTAGGTTAGGGTATACAGTAGAGTAGCCTCCAAGAAACTCTAACCCAAATAGGACTCATTTTATGGAAGAGGCTCCTCTTCAATGATGATCTCTCTAGTTTCCCTAGTGCTATTTCATATAGTTGACATGTGTCTATTTAATTTTTAATAGACCAGATTAATTTTCTTGACCAAATATCATTAACCATGGTTAGTAGTAATTCTCTCTCTTCTAATTCCTTTCTCAATCAGCAAAGAAACACTTCTTCCCCTTCCAAAACTCTCCGAAAAACAAAGCAATCAAACAATTGAAATTTAAAATTACATCAATATTTTAATGTTTTTACATTTACATATGAACAACTATGGAGAGTCTCAAAAGAGAAAGATTGAAATGGAGTGATTAGCCCCAATTAAAGATTACAGCTATAAATACCGCAAGAAAAGAAGACCCAAAAAATAAATGGAGAATTTCACCTATTAAAAGAAATGTATATGAAAAATATTTTCCTACCCATTTTTCATGCCCTTTCCAGATCCTTTAGTTGGCTTTTGTAGAAACTCCAAATTGAAAAAATTGATGTTACGAAGAAGACGACGAAGTTTTGTGGATAACTATTGTGACTGAACCAAGCTTCAAAGAAGTAGTCTCATGGGTTGGATTTTTTAAATTTTATAACCCAAGCTCATCCTTTGAATTTTGTCTTCTTTTATCACGGTGTGAAAATAATGGAAAGAAAACGTGATTTGTTGTTAACAAAGCAAATTATTTGCTGATTGAGAAAAGATTTGTTGCAGAATTAAGTGAGAAAGAAAGAGTTGAGAGAGGAGAGAGAAAGAGAAATAATAATAACCATGGTTAATGATATTTGACAATGGTTTAAAGGCTGTTTTATTTAAATAAATATGAACCATTAGGTTTTAAAATTGACAGATGTCATTAAATTAATTATGCACTGGACCAACTGGAGAGATTAGTGTACTGGAGAGGAGCCTTTCCATCATTTTATAGAGTCTTACAAAATTTCAATGTCTACAATGAATTATAGTATATTACTCTTTTATATAACCATCTCACATAGTACGGACAATCTCATCACATTTAACATGTATTTCTCATTATAAATATCGGAAAAGGGTCAAAAATACCCTTAAACTATCCGAAATAGCTCATGTATACCCTTAAACTATATTTCGGCTCAAAACTACCCTTTCCGTCAAACTATTGGGTCAAAAGTACTTTTCTTATTAACGAAAGTTGTTAAATGCCATGTGGATGCCACATTGCATGCCAATTCTAATTACTTTTTTTTCCACTACCACATAGACTAAATCCCTAAATCCTAATTAGTCTTTTTTTTCCCTCATTTCATTATTTTCCAGAAAACGATTTCACCCTTCTCCCTCATTGAAGTATGTTATTGAACAAGTAAACTTTATCACCGCTAACCAGAAAGCATTCAACAATAGAACACCAACAATCGTAACTTGATAAACTAATTTGTAAAATGAGGAACATTAACAGTGGAAGTAAATATTTGAACTTCATACAAAACATGTTGAGCACAAAACACACTACTCCAAATACAAAACCCCCCACTAGCTTGTTGTTTGTTAAAAACTAGTAGAATTGGTCAATAGCTGGAAAAAACTAAGTAAAGAACTAATGGAAAAATAGAGAAACTGGAAATAAACTTCACAAAAGCTGAAAATAAACTTCACAAAAGCTGGACATAAACTAAGTAAAGAACTAATGAAGAAGTGCATTACCAAACATTAAGTAAAAACTGGAAATAAACATCACAAAATCTGGACAAAAACGAAATTTCAATGAGGGAGAAGGGGTGAAATCGTTTCTGAAAAATAATGAAATGAGGAGAAAAAAAGAGTAATTAGGATTTAGGGATTTAAGACTCATTTGTTTTCATTAAGATTAAAACGTCTGAATCTGAATGCACATCTGAATATTAAGATGTTATCTCTAGATCTGAACACTGAATAATTAAGATAGTTTGTTTTTCAATATCTGAATGTACATAATTTATACTCCCTCCATCCCATTTTATGTGGCACAATTTCCTTTTTGGTCAATCCCAAAAAGAATGTCACATTTCCTTTTATGGTAAGTTTTTAAAGATACGATTCCTCTTTTATCCTTATTGGTCCCACTTAATTTTAAAAATAGTACTCCTATTTCTTTTTTATAAAAGGTCATCAATAATTAATTGAACCTGCAATTTCTCTTTCCTATTAAAACAATGTTGCAGCCTTTTGTTGTATATGACTGGAATACCATTCTTTACTCCATTTTTTTTTCCTAAGCATTTTGTACTCTTTCCAATTTGTAGTTTTTTTTGTCCACAGTTATTCTTCGTTCTTTCTAACGTTTCACCAAGAAAAAAAGATTTGCATTTTTACATTACGTTGCTTCCTTATTTTTTCACTAAAATTTTGGGGCTTTCACTTACTAAGGTAATGATTTTAATGAAAAGTATTCTAACATGAATTTGATGATTATCTCAAATTACAATCTATTTAAGGAAAATCAAAAACTTCAAATTCAAACTAGATAGTGAACAATTCAATAATAATCGTTTCGTAACATTGCTCTCAACTTACAATTTTAATTCAATATCAATGAGATTTATTTTTAAGATTAAATTAGCAATAAGGCACCCAAAAATATGGTGACAATGCTACAAATAATTCATGCTACTTTAGATCCATCGTAGTTTTTGTCATACTTTCATAACTAATTGCCATAAGTACAAAAATTACATATGGTCACCATGATTGTAAACAATAGTAATGCTCCTAATATACTTGACAAAATATCATTTCAACTTTCACATATTAAAGGAGTACAAAAATTACATGGTGATCACCTTGGATGTACACAATACTAGTACTATCTCTACTTATAAAACATCATTTCAGTTTTCATTTGTTAAATTTTTCTATGTTCCTGCAAAATTATCAAAAGTGCATTTCAAAAAAGAAAATTTTGTCATACTAGTGATCCATATCATTGTTGAAGTAGAGTTGAAACATGATTGACAATACCAATATCACAACAAAGTTGAAGAGGAAGATTGTCTTCTCTTTCTAATTCGTTTTTGTTCAAATGAGGCACTTTGTAGTTGTCGCCTCCATTATCTTTCATCACCTCAATCATACAAGATTGTAAAGTAAGAAATACATGGTTGAGTTGTTCAACCTTCATTTCATCAAAAAATCTTTTCACCGCTTCCACTAATTCATCAACATTTGAAGGAGCCTTTTGGTAGTGAAGAGATTGGATTGCTCTAAAAAAATCCAAGGTCCAACACATTTAAATCAGGGATGTTAGGTGGTTGAAAACATAGTCTAATGTCGAATCCATCTTTTTGGGCAGCTTCAACAAATTCCAAATCATTGACACCAATGTGTGGTCTTGCATTATCTTGTTGTATAAAGATATGAATGTTTGAATCTGAAGCTGGCCATTTTGATCTAATGGCAGGAAGAACTTTCTCAATCAAACAAGCCCTGGTGATATCTTTAGTTGCTGATATAATGGGTTTTGTTTCGAGAGTTCCTGTTGTTCGATTTTTGCTATTCCGCTTAGCTGGTTCCTTAACTACAAATTGAAAAATACCTATTTTTCAGAAAATAGCTCAATTCCATTTTCATCAAATTGAGGACGAGTAACAACAACCATAAACATAACTTTTGGAATAAAATTTTTACTTTTGCAAGAGCGATATGGATTAGGCTTATGTTCTTCAGGAAGTAGGTAGTACCTTTCACTTTTTTTAGATAAAAAAAAACCATTTCTCATCAATGTGAACATAATTAAACATATTCATAAAATTTGGATTTGTGTGAATTGTACTCTGGTCAAGCATTGAAAGGCAGAATTCAAGTCGTACCTTCTTATTTTGTTCGGTTAGTTGAGGCTTAATGGAATTGGTATGTGTCCAAATAGTGCCATCTTTTATCCGTCAAAAGACAGTTGATTTTGCCATGTTCATCGCAAAAGCCAGAGATCGAATATTTATTCGACGACAAAGTGGAGTTTCTTTAACTTGATTAATGTCAACTTCCATCCGTTTTCTTCCAACTCTGCCTACAAGATTCAAAACACATCCAACAGTGTACCATTATCAACCGATGATTTACATTGCTTCCAAGTGCATAAAATAGTTCTTCTTGATTTGTTGAACAAAATAACAGCTTGTTTTAAAGATCCATATTTAAGTTTTCCTTCCTTGCTTTCTTTCAAAAGCCAATCTGCAATGGCTTAACGTTCTTCAAGTTTTAATCGCTTGTTTCTAGTGGTTGGATCTTCCGGAAATACAACTATACTCATTTCTGGAGTATAAGCAAGAGACAAAAAAATAAAGATGAAAGAAAA